AACCTTGTAATCAACTTTAAATTATCATTACATCATGTGGATTTGATGCAAGTACAATGTTACGTAAATAAAAGAGACAAACTCCTGTTTATTCTAAATAACGGTAATCTGTTTTGTAAACATTTTCACCTTTAAATGGTTTAAACTGATAAGATTGGAATGATTCTATTTCGTTTATTCACAGATTTAAATTGCGTTGGTTAGGAATCTAGCATTGACCAACATCACAGTATAACACACTAGATTCGCGCCGCGCATCAACCAGCGCCCGCCGAGCCAACCGACCGGCCGCCTTCGATCTGCCCCGTATACCCGTGCACGGCTGGCAATCCTGGGGCTACGGGCAATTTGTCGAAAAGCCCTTCACTGCGCACTGATTTCCCCAGAGCTCTGGTAGATCGCTCCAAAGGCTGGAGGTTTACAAGGGGTTGGATTGTAAGCAGAAGCAATATACTTTACTATGGCTGTAGGGGGGGCTCGGCAAAAGATGGCAATTATATGGTTTGCCTCGTTTTGTCCTTCCCTTTTTTGTTGTTGTCTGCGCTCGGCTTTGCGATAGGAAAATAAAGAGGAACACCGTGTACGGTGGAGCATATGAAAGGAACATGTACTCGGGCGAGGGACATGTACTCTGGTTGACATACACGGACTTGAATTTCATTGTGTTGGGGAAAGGACACGGTGCATTGAAAGAGAACTAAACATTCAGCTTATCTCTTCCCCGCGTTGATATTACTGGGAAGCACTTGAATTTGCCCGAACTGCTATCACGGTAAACCGGATACTTTCATCATGCTAAATGAAGTTAGCCAACAAACCGGTTTTTGTCTTCTCCTGAGCGCTTATTTGTTTGGCAGAATCAATCAAAAAATGCCTTTGAAATTTGAGATTTCAGGACATGATTGCTGGCACAAAAGTACAGCATCTAGAAAAATCCAGTTTCCACTTAAAGCTATTTATTCATTGGCGGAAAACCTAGTTACTGAAGGTACCGCTTTTCTAAATCATTTTGTGAAAAACTTTCCCCGGAAAAGTCACGTAAAATATTTAAAAGGGCAAACCACGAGGGAGTCAGTTGCCAGCACGTAAAAAAAACAAAATCAAAAGACAAAGTCCAAACTCAGAAATGAAAGAGTTTCCAAAAACCAGCGTGGTATCTTTAAACAAACTGACCCAACAATGCGGGACATCGGCGGGCAGATGGGGCGCATTATGGCTCCGTAATGACCAACAAAAGACAGAAGAATTGACTTAGAGTGGCCGGGGGAAAGCCCAACCTTTGTTCTTGTCAGGATGCGGTAACGATTAATGCAATTTTGTTTGTTTGCACTCGTGTTGGTGTAAAGACCACTTAGGGAGAGCCATTGAGCAACAGAGACTTTCTAAACTTGAAAACGTCGGACCACGCTTATAGAAGATACGTACAGAATGAACAAGACAGAAGACAAACCAAAAAAGATAATACAAACCTTACACTTTCGGACAGAGAAAGAGATTGAATCGTAATAATAAAAAAAGAAGAAGAAATGTTATATTATATTATGTTATGTTTATATATATTAATAAAACCTAAAAAAGGATAGAAGTTTTCTCTGAAGTACTTCTTTTTTCTCTGGTGTATTAATAACCATGAGGTTGCATGGTAATAAGACAAAAGAACAAAGCAATAAATCCGTGTATCTGTTAGATTCCTTTGGTGTGGTACTGCGTGTTCACAAGGTATGATTAATAATTATAACCGTCAGGCTTGTGTGTGATTTGCTTAACGTCGTCCGCTTCTCCAAAAAGCAAGAAAAATGTCCTGCCAAAATTTGAATCACTGTAAATGTCAAATGGAAAACAAAATTATGAAAAGGACTGACTAGATTATGATTATATAAAGTTCTAATGTGTATATAAACTCTATTCATTGTATCTTCCTTGTTTTCGAAATAAAGTTTCCTCTTTGAAAAGTATCAGTACAATGTGACAAAACGGCATAAATCATTAACCACTTCCTCAATATTACAAATGCTAATGATCGAATGGATTGAGGAATTGTAAAAATTATTCATGCGTATTTAAACACTGGACTATTTCGCTTCTCATCACATTACCAGCGGAGAAGAAAGAACAAAACTGTGATTTTTCCCCCGGTCCCTCCTCCCTTTTGAGGTAATATTTCAATCTGGTGTTATTTTCCTTGGACCTGAAGAGACACGGCCGTGCCGTCTGTCGCGTTCTCGACACGAGAAAGTTGATTCAGTAAAAAAAAAAAAAAAAAGAGATGGAGAGAGAACGGAGGAAAAAATGAGTCAAAATCTTGACGCTGTAGCGAGTGAGAGGCGCGCCGCGGCGGGTCCCGCAGGGCCGGGCAACGCGCCGTCTCCCCGGTATCGTGTTCCTGGCCGTGTCCCGGCGCTCACTCGCGCGGAATACTTTTGTAACGGTACACTCGACTGCGCGGCGGACAAACTGGTGTTTTATTTAAGCACGTTGGTTAAGAAACTTGCGGCCGGGGTATTAGGAATAAAACGGGAGGGGAGGTATTGGTTTACCGCTGAACAGCCGGCTACGGGACTACCGGAGCCATGCAGTTTAATAATGACCAAAAAAAAGATAGAGAGAGAGGAAAAACCCAAGACACTTTGTAAGATAAATTGGTGTAATAGCAATTTTCAGATTGGCGTTTGGGGTACAATGGAGACGTGAGCTAAATGCATCGATTGGCGGAGATGCAACATAATAATGATCGTCGTCGTAGCTAATGCCGGCACAATGGTCAAGATGACTTGACTAATCCATGCAGTCTGTGCATTAAATCTGTGTGCATAAGTTAGACGACATGACGGATTTTTTTCTCTCTCTCTCGGTCGATGGGCGCCACAAGGAGTGGTTAACGTAGCCGTACATAAAATTATCACCATACTCACCGTGTCATAGTGTGCATTATGTTAATGTTAACCGTCCCACATTATAATGATTGGGATAAGGAAAGTTCATTTTACATGCATAAAAAGTTTGAATGACTTATTTGATGAATAACGATGTTCAGCATCGTATACTAGAGAATTTCTTGGTTCATAGCAACGGGGTTTGTTTACGTAAAAAACCAAGTAGCAAGAACATGTTTTTGTTTGGCACTACAATCTTCTTCAAAAGTCAAACTGTTTACAAATCACATGTGTAGTTCTTTATTTAGACACCTTGAACGTATGGTGTCCAAAGAACATTAGAACGTAGACCGATGTGATATTTTCAAAAGGAATGTGTAGTGTAGTGCTATGAAAATGAGTCAGGTGAAATAAGTCTAAGGCAAGAAAAAAGAGGGCAAAATTAAAAGAGGGAAAATTGCATGAGAAGAGAAAAGATTCAAAGGATGACAAGACGAGAGGTTCCAGAAGATGACAGACAGCGGGAAGAAGGCGAACAAGTCCCCCCACTCGACAGACATGATCACACTCGACAACAGTTTCCGAGTGCCGCGGAAATGGTGTCTCGCGCCCCGTCAAGTGCGCGGGTAAATATCAACCTCTCTGCCCGCCTGTCGTTGACGGTAGCGACCCGTTGCTGTCGGGTGATGGATGGGTCAGATACACTGCCCCCCCCTCCAAAAAAACGAGCCGTGACGGACTATCGGCTGCGAGTTAACGAGTTAACCATTACGTCCACGCAGCCCTGAATGGATGACAGACCGTCAGCGATAGCAATGGAGCGGGGAACATCAGAAATTAGTTTAAAGAATATTAGGGTGTCCCCCGGGAGAGCGGTGGTTGTCTACACGCACATAAAAGAAAAGAAAAAAATCGAAATAGTTGTACATGCATTTCACTTAACACAGAAACTCACGCGACAGGAGGACAAAAGCCGGGATCCTTGCGCTCGCGTGAAAATCAACTCCTGGCCGAAAAAGGAAACCCAACTCGTACCTAATAAAGGCAAGGCGCGCATGCTGTGAGGGGTAAGCGTGTACCGATCTGTATTATATTAACAGTGACTTTGAATTATATGAGTTGTTTGACCTCTCTGAGGAGTACTTTGAAAACCAATTGCCCGCGCGTGTCGATTTGCTTCAGTAGCTAAAAAAAGTTAGAAGGCTACCATTTCACAGTCATTGGGCGTTGAGCCAAAAACTCAGTCAAAAATACATGTCAAAATATGACGTAGTGAACTACACGCATTTAACAACGGACAAATTAGCTTTTTTCGTAGCGGTTACTTTCGACAGAACATCTCAAACCAACATATAAGAATCCATTCGAAAAAGGGTACCTACCTTTTCCCCCTCTTGACCAGGTTAGCTTTAAGTCCACAGAGCTAGGACCATCGAAAGACGTGCGAAATTTCCCGGGTGTAGGGAGAGAGTGCAAAGATATGCCCTACCGGCCTCTTGGCTGGGCTCGACGTGACTTGCAACGCCAGCCGGGAAGTTACAAGGTAATGGAGCAGAGCTACGGGCTACCAATTAGTTTACTTTTTAATTTCAGCAAATTTGGCCCGGTGAATCTTCACAATTAGACGGCGTCGGGGAGTAAACTGCTTAATGTCATTTGGCAAAACATTCCTGGCCGTTAACGAAATTACCAATAATTCGTCAGAGCAATTGAATAAGCACGCCGGCAAATCACATAATGAACGATCATAAATGACACTAAAGCACTCGGAAAACAAAACCAGGTAAATTGATCAAATTAAAGTGTGCGTCTTCCCTCTCTCTCCTCTCTCCGTCGGAACATTTTTTCTTGCAGAATTTAAACAGGGCTAGCGGTAGAGTACACCGTATTGGAGTTACCTAACCGGCTACAGATTGCCGCGCAGCGACACCAATATACGCCGTTAATTTCATCAGTTTGAGGGGGCAACAGACTCCAACACGTTATAAAGCTTCTTGATAGAATTGCAACTTGTCAGTGAAGTTAAGCTCGCCTGCAAGGGGAAGACGAGAGCCGGATATAGAAAAAAAAAGAGATTTACCTCAGACAAGGCAAAAGTAAGATAAGTTACAAGTTAGTGAGACTCACCTCCGGAGTATGGGGAGCACTGGGGGACCTGCTGATGGTCCATCATGGAGGCGAGGTTACAGGTGCCGGGCATGCCACCAGCACCGCTACCGTAGCTGACCGACGGCCTTAAACTGCTGTAGGGGTAGCCCTGGCTGGGCTGAGAGCTGACGGCGCCGGGGAACTCGCCGTATGAGGTCTGGATACCCAGTCCAGTCCCCTCCACCCCGCTCAGGCATGACTCGTACGCGTTCTGGCCCAGATACGAGGAGTAATCCATCCTGTCCGGTAAAGATATTTCGACCGCTCACTTCTCCTGGTTGTACTTCTTCGTCTTCTTGTCCTCCTCCTTCCTCCCGAAGTTCTTTGCGAGTTAAGACCGGCTTGAGAGACGAAGGACGGAGACAGCGAGTGAGGGGGAGACGGAATGATGGAGTGACTCCGATGATCTAATCAGATGAGGCGAGAGATGCGCCTTTCTCCTGTGCCGAGTTGTGACACGTCTGACAAAGAGGTCACCGAGTGGCGAACGTCCGGGCGCGTCCGGGCTACTTATGCCTTTATAACTTGATAACTAAAACATCGACAAAATACAATGGACCTGGGGCAGATGAGTGCGTGTGTGTACGACAGAAACCAGAGTGTATTATGCGTGTATTGCCGAGTGGTACTCGTCAGCTGCCCACTTGGAACGTAATTGTCAACTTGAATGAGGCACTGCCGCTTTTTTCTGGTATCGCCTGTTTATGCCGATCGCTTAGGGAAACTTTGAGTGTCTACCCAACCCTAGACGTGCGTTATCTTAGACTTGTCTCTTTCCCCCGGTTGACTCAGTCAATCAGTTGTCCGCCAGTGCTGTACTCTATCGCCTGTGTTACCAACTAAAGAGCGCTGCGGATCGGGCGCTGCCAGCGCATTGAACGCGGTTGAGTAAGTAATCACAATTTAATACACTTAGCAAAATTGCAGGGGCGCGTTTTAATCACGGGGAAATCATACACACTGATTAAGGTATTGCACTTATGTGCAGACGTACATCATCGGTGGCCGATTGAGCCTGGCAGTGAGGAGGGGGGGGGGCTCGAGCGGAGACGGAACGGAGAAAGACTGATGCGGCAGTTTGTCAGTGAGAGAGAGGCTAGGGTCCGGTCACGTGACGCGGGGCGGACTCCCATTGTCGCACGGTGTGCGTGTGCGTGTGTTGACGAGAAACATGCCATTGGTGTGACATGTGTAACTTGATTGGGGGCGCTTCCCCAGGGGACGCTACCAATCTTATATCCTGGCCCTTGCAATACACCCTGGGTACGAAACAAAAGAGCCCCCCTCGTCTACCGCCCCCTACTGTTAAGTTTCAAGAAACCGATGGATTTGTTAAAATTGACATGCGAAACCGTGTTTTCGGTTCCCATGAATGCACTGGTACTGCGACCTACACTGTGCAAAGTAACGGGAGACGGTATTGATACTCTGTGCTTTTAAATTAAAAAGTTGCCAATTATGCAGCGTAAGCAAACAAAAGTTTTTTATGTTTGAATTTCTGTGTTGAGTGGGGTTTCAGGGAAACTGATGTGAATAATTTGCACCGTCGAAGCAAGCATGTTAACAGTCTATGTTTTAAACACACGAAATGTATGAATGTACAAATCTATAGAGACAACGCGGCTCATCTCATAATAGTTATTATTTTTCATTGAGTGTGTCACTAATTTCAACGTCGGGATACTTCCAGTTTGAAAACGCGTTGAAAACACAAACAATTGCCATTGTCGAGGCCCTATGACTGTATTTACAAATTAAAATTTCGCGCCTTGAAGGTATTGGAACGCATGACTTACTCGCCAGTTCCGACCACGGTGCCGTACACGCGGGGGACAGTCTGAATCATGTTGATTTATACGCGACCGGCGCGGCACTGATACAAAAACCGAGAAATGAAAATGGATATTAAGTACAGGTCTGCATCGCGCGCTATGGAGCGGGTTAGGAGATGGATGTGGGCCAGGAGAAATGCCTTGCTCACCGGTGGACTTGACGGTGATGACGACGTGAATGCTGGCCGTGACGTGATGGAAAGGGGGGGGGGCGACCGCGCGCGGTTACTTGCCAGATGAGATCATTAATTACTGGGATGGATTGGCAAACATTGAGGTAGGACGATTGCAACGAGTCTCTTTTCTTCTCTTTCCTGCCCCCCTCCATGGTCTCTCTCCGCGGGCCAATCATGGCGGCGGCGAGGTATAGCGGTGGCGGCGTCACCGCGGGTTTCCCGCAGTCTGTAGAGACGATGTCAAAGCAGGACTCGACCAGGTTGAATCGAAAACCGCTGAGAAAGAGAAATACAGGGATAGAGAGAGAGAGACGGAGTTTTTTTTTAACGGTCTTCGCGGATGGCGACAGCGATGGGGAAGGGAACGAGTCAAGGTCGCTGCGCCTACGCGGACGACTCAGTCGAGAGGATGTTGTTTTAGCTGAATTATTTCGGCTTATAATCATCGATGTTTTCCTCCCTTTTTGAGTCGTCAGTGTTGTCCTTGTGCCTAAGTCGTCGAGTGCTTACCAAAGCGCGCGCGCAATAAGTGGCATGTGTGAGGAAGGCTTTTAGCTCTAAGGCCAAGAAAGAAATGCGAGATTGGTCTGAAAATGCCTGTTGTCTGTGTCCTGGGATGAACCCGTCGCATCGCAGAGAAACACAAAAAATGAGAAGTTGTTAACAGATCTAGAAAACCAGTCAAGAAAAAAACACGCTGCAAGCGGCAAACAGAAAATGACCCATAAAACCTATACTTTGACCACTGGCAAAAGAAAAACACTTTTATCGAATGGACCAACAGATTTGAAAGCTATTGATTATTCTGTTATGATGTTACAAAAAGCCCAGGATTTGCCTCTTGCACAGCAAATCACCCAAGAAATGCTTCGCTAATAACGTTTTCCCGATTTCCCGTACTACTTCCTCGACCCTCCAAAAAGTCATCCCCCAAATGTATTTGCTCAGACCCGTGTCGCTTGACAGTGCATGGAAAACGGCTCATCAATTACCCTAAAACATTCCTGATTCCCCCTCAGTGTAAACCCATCGCTCGGATCTATAAACTCGCATCACCGCCGAGTTCTGTTGGCGTGAAAGGATGGGGGAGATGCGTAACGCAAGAAGGGAAGCGTGCGGAACAATCTGCCGGTGGGGTATCAAGTGTTCGCCCGCCCGCACGAGTGGGCCTGGCGGTGCATACCGCCGAGCGCATTTTCCGCGGGAGCTGCTCTGTCGGCGGAGCGCAACTCCCCTTCGCGCGACGTATAGTTAGTCATTTCAGCGCCCCAAAGTTTACCAGTCGTTGGAAGCTTGTTTTTTCTTCTGTTTTCCCTCCCTTTCTCCATTCTTTTTTTTCTCATTTCTAGGACCCGTCTGAGACAGGTTTCTATGTTGACACATTGCTTCCATTAGATTCATTGAGCAAACAACGTCAAGTCAGAGCCAAGGGAGATAGGCACAGCGCGTATACGTCTCTCAGCTAAACACTTTAAGTATCATCCAGAGGAGACTGTAGCTACACAAAGTCGCGTATCGAGCAGGAAATTCACTTGCTACTCGCCGTGATGAAACGAAAACACGGCAGCGTTACATCCAAGTGTATGAGGCAGGCCTTCCAGCCTCGCAACTCGATCAGGAATCCGTCATGACCGCCACTAGGCATTTATTTTGAGAAAAAGTCAACGGGTGTGTTAAAATCAGGATATTATTAACATCTCTTCACAAACAAGCGTTTACTTAAAGCTTAAATCAATCACCTCTTTGATAGTACCTTTCGGAATTTGGGTTTTTTTATTGGTTGCGCTTTTGAAATAGACTGTATATTGCCATTATAGCGTTGTGCACTCCTTTTCATTGAACATGAACACGTCTTATCAAAAGACCGTCAAATTTCATGACACACATTGCAATTTTGAATTCATATCTGCCGAACACTCTTCATAAACACCGAACACGCATATGTTGTGCACAGCTGGGACAAAATCTAAAACACACAACCAATACGAAATGCACACTATGTAATTTAAAATCAAAATTTTAATCTATTTTAATGTAAACACTTTTTAATGTATTCTCATGTTTGAAGTTTTACAGTGTTCTGTGCGCAATAGCAGTTTACGATGGGTCGTTGCACTCGACAAAATTTAACACAAGAGGGCTTCTTGCTCCCCTAGTTACGACAAAAATGGCTGACATTTCGTCCCCGCGGGCAAAATGCCGTACCAGGGTCCGGCAGTTTATTTGACTTTTGTGAGAAGGATTCATGTTGCACAAGTCGACACGAGAGGGCTGCGTGCGGTACGATGCCTTCTGTAGTATACTATTAGAGTTTTACGGTAGGATGAGTACGGCCAGTCTTTGAGCAAACAAGGCGTCCAGTGGAACTTCAAATTGTAATCTGTTATTTAACATGCGTGAAATACGCGTGAAATCACAAGTTCACGTGAATTACTGTACAAAATGAAAGTATACAGAAAAATCAAGCCAAACTTTGTTTGACTTGTAGACATCTCGAATCAAAACCTATGCAACAAACTCAAAGATATTACTGGTCATTTTAGATAGATCTGAAGTGGATTTTTTACCGTTCCACCCTGGTTTGTTTTTTTGCTCAAGAACACGGGATTGCTACTCCACAAAAGTTGAAGATGGATGTGGATTCTTTGATTAGATCTGCACACACTTGAACGAACGCGCGGGGCGAGCGAGCGCGGTGCGCAAATCGCCCTCAGCGAGGTTGGACAGCTGTGGCAACTCGGCGCAGGAACGGCGGGGCCTTGGCAAGAGGGAAATTTCGCTCGTCACAGTGGCGGGGTCCCAATCGCGTTGACGCAAATAACCCCTGCCGAAAATAAAATGGCAAGTCCTTGTGGTTGAAATCAACCGCCCTGGAAGGAAAACAAAGGAAAAGAAGAGATAAAAACCTTCAGGCTGTATTGTATTTTGCGGCCCTTTTGAAAAACATATGTTGCAAAATAAAGGGCGATGACCTGGAAAAAAGTTATGATACTTTTTTTTCAGTTTAATTTCTTTTCATTCCAACGTAATAACAGATGTGGCTTATGCGAATAACGAAAATCGCTAAAAAACAAATTAATAACATGAAATGTTAGAAGGGATTTATTTAACAAAAAGACTTTCTTCTCCATGAGGAAGACAAATCATATCAATGTGGAGCATGATCACAACTAACATTAAGGCGATTTTTTTTCCACGTAACGAAGCTTTTGCGTAGACAGGGCAAACGAAAGAGTTACAAAAGCTCTCATTATAATAACAACACGAAATTGCAAGACAAATGTGATACTGAATACCGTACAAAGTTGTTACCTTGTTGCAAACTATATTTTCCGCGCTTGAAGTGTAAGTCATTCCCTTTCCTACTGGCAAAGCGATGACCCTGAATTTTTTCTCTCTTTTTTTTGCAGTTTGGCATTAGTTACATGTAAACTGGTGTAGTATGAAATTCGGACTCCATGAAATAATGACTCACTGACAATGACCGTATCACGCATGACTCACTCAAGCTCAGTGCGCAGTACAGTGGTAACTAACTGCTGCATGTAAAGCTGGGAGACTGTTTATGGAAAGGAGACCGCGGATTTCAGGAAGGAAGCAATTTCTTGTGATACGGATAGTAATCTGACGAAAAGCAACTCTCCACCATCACGTAAATCAACGGATTTCAGTCGCTTAACACCTCCTATGAAATACCTGCATAAATCCTCGTCATCTGATTGGTGGATAGTTGATCACATGTCACTGAATTATTTGCTTTCTACAACGGTACCTGTCAACGGGACTTCATTTTCACTTGACTGATCCCGCCCCCATGTCATTTATTCCATTCCCAGTAAGAAAGAAGAAACCAATGCAGGGACGGGAACCAGTCTGACATTGCACGGTACTACCAGTGCGCGTGTATACGGTGGCTGCGCTTCGGAC